GTTTCTTTCTCCCTTTCAGTATCAACCTAAAACATGTTGCCTGAGACGAGCAGTAAATGGTGCTTCCCTTCATCTAGATCAAAGTACATACTGCCTAAATCCAGCCTAGTTATTCTGAGGCAAAACCCTCTTCTGCTCTCTGAAATTAAAAGTACAGTAAAAAGAATTTAAACTTCTATTAATTGCTGCTCTCCCAAACTCTACTGCCTGTGTTGTTCACTTCACTTTGCCTTCCATTAAGCAGACTTGACTTGCTTAATAGTAGTGCTGGCACTTGATACTAACTGCATGACAGCGGTAACACCCCCTACTAAGCTATGTTCAAATAATAATTTGGAATCTTCAGGTTCAGTTCATTTTCTGATGATTTTGAGCCATCAGGCCAGAAGACCTTGGACAGGATGATTTGAAAAGTAACAAGAAAATAATTAAGCACACAACACCACACATGCTTAGGAATAAAACATCACCTAACTGAGAAGGATTTAAGTTTGCAAGTACCAGTTATCATTTTAGAGTGCAATGTGTACAGTTCTGTGACTTGGGGTGAGAAAAAGAAGGCACAATATGGAGCAAGCTCAAATTCTCACCTCTGCGGAAGGTTTGCCTTCGAGACAGAGGCACAGTTTTATAAGTGAGCAAATCTGTCAGTGCTGTCCACATTCAGTCTTTTCTTTTCTTTTTAAATTGAAGCTTTTCTGTCCCACTTGGGAAGAAGCTTGCACATTTTGGCAGTTGTTAAAATAAAAAATGAACAAATATTTTTTTCCCCACAGCTTGTACAAACCAAATTCAGTAGACATAACTATTCTCAGCAAAGTGAGGACCACATGGAACAACTGAGTGGTTCAAAATTGGGAAAGGAGTACGGCAAGGCTGTATATTGTCCCCCAGCTTATTTAACTTATATGCAGAATACATCATGCGGAAGGCTGGACTGGAAGAAACCCAAGCCGGAATTAAGATTGCCGGAAGAAATATCAACAACCTCCGATATGCAGATGATACCACTCTGATGGCAGAGGAGGAATTAAAGAACCTTGTAATGAGAGTGAAAGAGGAGAGTGCAAAAAATGGTCTGAAACTCAACATAAAAAAAACTAAGATCATGGCCACTGGTCCCATCACCTCCTGGGAAATAGAAGGGGAAGATATGGAGGCAGTGTCAAATTTTATCTTCCTGGGCTCCATGATCACTGCAGATGGAGACAGCAGCCCTGAAATTAAAAGGCGCCTTCTTCTTGGGAGGGAAGCGATGACAAATCTGGACAGCATCTTGAAAAGCAGAGACATCACCTTGCCAACAAAAGTCCGAATAGTCAAAGCTATGGTTTTTCCTGTCGTGATGTATGGAAGTGAGAGCTGGACCATAAAGAAAGCAGACCGCCGAAGAATTGATGCCTTTGAATTGTGGTGCTGGAGGAGGCTCTTGAGAATCCCCTGGACTGCAAGGAGAACAAACCTATCAGTTCTAAAGGAAATCAACCCTGAGTGCTCACTGGAAGGACAGATCCTGAAGCTGAGGCTCCAGTACTTTGGCCATCTAATGAGAAGAAAAGACTCCCTGGAAAAGACCCTGATGTTGGGAAAGTGTGCTGGCAAGAGGAGAAGGGGACGACCGAGGATGAGATGGCTGGACAGTGTCTGCGAAGCAACCAACATGAACCTGACACAACTCCGGGAGGCAGTAGAAGACAGGAGGGCCTGGTGTGCTCTGGTCCATGGGGTCACGAAGAGTCGGACACGACTAAACGACTAAACACACACACACAGCCATATGGCTGTTAAAAGATGAGGAACGGTGTGTGTTCTCACCCCCAGAAAAGCAGCAACCCTAATATGGTTTGAATACACAGGGATTTAAAGCACTTAAAGCCCACCTGGGTCAACTGATCAGCTAGTTTTCTTGTCGCTCATATTCAAATCATATTAAATCTCATGCTCTTTTCATCATTCTTATGAAGAAATTGGTGAATTATGGGAAGCTGTCACTACTTTTATTATGATTATTATTGTTATATTTATATCACTTGACAGCTGGCTGCATAGCTCCGTGGTTTAGGTATCCAGCTGCAGAACCAAAGGTTGTGCATTCTAGGAGAAAAGTCATCCTGCCTGGCCTTGGGCAAGCTGCATAGCCCCAGGATGCCCCTAGAAAAAGGGAATGATAAACCACTTCTGTGTATTCTATACTTGGAAAACCCTGAAAAGGCTTGCTGTAAGTCAGAATTGATTTGCACATGATTATTATTATTATTTCACTTGACATAGTAAAATATCTAAAAACTTTACATAACCAGGTCTGTCTAAGACAATACTAAAAATATTACAAAACAGTTTGAAATTAATAGTTTAAAACAACAACACAATAAATGCAGGCCAGACACCACTGTTCTAAGCAGAGGAATGCCTACACAAAGAAGTATGAAACTTGTGTACGTTTTTTAACCCCAGACAAACCAGAGATTCTCACCAATTCGTACAATATTTGCTGAGTAGACCATAGACTGATGCCTGGTTCATGAGGGCCAAACTATGTATTACAGAACATGTAGAAGAGAAAGATATTCAGGTGTTGAAAGACTTGTGATTGCTACAGTAGGAGCCTTGTAGATTAAGAACATAAGAACATAAGAAGAGACCTGCTGGATCAGGCCAAGGGCCCATCTAGTCCAGCTTCCTGTATTTCATAGTGGCCCCACCAGATGCCTCTGGGAGCATACAAGACAACTAGATACCTGTCTCCTGATATCACTCCCCTGCATCTGGCATTTGGAGGTACCTTCATTTTAAGCCTGGAGATCATACATCCCATCATAGTTTGTAACCTGCAATGATCTTTTCCTCCAGGAATCTTTCCAATCCCCATTTAAAGGCACGTAGGCCAGATGCTATCTCCACATCTTGTGGCAAGGAGTTCCACAGACTAACAACCAGTTGGGTAAAAAAATATTTTCTTTTGTCTGTTCTCACTCTCCCTACACTCAGTTTGAGTGGATGTCCCCTGGTTCTGGTATTGCATGAGAGGGGAAAGCGTGTCCCTCTATCCACTTGATCCATCCCCTGCATAATTTTATACATCTCCGTCATGTCACCCCCAGGCACCTTTTCTCCACACTAAAGAGCCCCAAACGCTGTAGCCTTTCCTCATAATGGAGGTGCCCTAGCCCAGTCATCATTTTAGTTGCTCTCTTCTGCACCTTTTCCCGTTCCACTATGGGTTTTTTTTCTAGGTGCAGCAACCAGAACTGTATGCAGTATTCTAGGTCCAGCCTTACCAGCGCTTTGTACAATGGCATTATAATGTTGGCTGTTTTATTTTCAATGCCCTTTTTAATGATACCTAGAATGGAACTGGCCTTCCTTACTGCCACTGCAAACTGGGTTGACACTGTCATCGAGCTGACCACAAGCACACCAAGATTTCTTTCCTGATCCTTCACAGATAGCTCAGAACCCATTAGGTGATAAAGTTATGATTTTTTTGCCACAATGTGCATTACTTTACATTTTCTTATATTGAAACACATTTGCCATCTTGCCACCCATTTTCCCAGTTTGGAGAGATCCTTCTGGAGCTCTTCACAATTCCTTCAGGTCTTCACCACCCTGGAAAGTTTAGTGTCATCTGCAAACTTGGCTACCTCACTGCTTATCCCTGTCTCCAGGTCATTTATGAACAGGTTGAAAGGCACCGGTCCCAGGACAGATCCCTGGGCATACCATTTTTCACTTCATTGTGAAAATTGCCCATTGACACCTACTTTCTGTTTCCTGGTTCTCAACCAGTTCTCAGTTCATAAGAGGACTTGCCCTCTTATCCCCTGACTGTGGAATTTTCTAAGCAGCCTTCAGTGAGGGACCATGTCAAATGCCTTCTGAAAATCCAGATAGACAATATCCACTGGTTAGCCCATATCCACATGCCTTTTCAAAGAATTATAAAAGGTTTGTGAGGCAAGACTTACCCTTACAGAAGCCATGCTGATTTTCCCTCAGCAAGGCTTGTTCTTCTATGTGTTTTAAGATTTTATCTTGGATGAGGCTTTCCACCATCTTCCCTGGAACAGACATTAGGCTAACCAGCCTGTAGTTTCCCGGGTCCCCCCTCTTTCCCTTTTTAAAGATTGGCATGTCATGTGCTATCCTCCAGTCCTCTGGCACTATGGTCATTTTAAGGGACAAGTTGTATATTTTAGTTAAGAGATCAGCAAGTTCATTCCTCTGTTCCTTAATAACACTTGGGTGGATGCCATCTGGGCCCAGTGACTTATTGCTCTTCAATTTATCAATTAGGTCTAAAACATCCTCTCTTTTAACCTGTATCTGATTTAATTCATTAGTTAGGAGGGACATTCAGGCAGCGGTATCTGCCCAAGGTCTTCTGTCATGAAGTAAAGAACTCAGTTAATTACTTGGCAAATTAGCTTGCTTTATTTTGGAGCTGGTCAATGGTAACAACAGGCTTTGTTCTCAATTATGATCATTCAGTCACAAAGGTGTCTCTGAGCACTAATGGCTCAGCTTCTAATGATGGTCTTTCTGTAAGGTACAACTATCACGCCAATGGAAGGTGGAAAGATTACTTTGCCAGACTGATCACACTGGTTGGAGCATTCCAAGCACTGTCTAGGACAATTTCCCAGCCAGTCTGCCTTGAAACAGGCTCAGGAGAAAAAAAACAGTGCGTGTACATGGCCATGAAAGGGGTTTTTGATGGATGCTCTGGCTCTACACTGTATTGCTTGGCAAAGCTTCTCCAGTCATTGGCAGGATTTGCCTCTTTATATACACAGAACAGCTTTCTGCGCAAGTCATGTAATTCATCATTGAAGTGTCAGGGTCTCAGTTGTCTCCAAACTCTCCAACCCTAGCCTGTGTTTAGGAAAGAGTTACTCAGCACTCCCACCCCCTTTTTTCATGTCTTGAAGGTGTCAGGAATTCAGCCAGTGAAAGAGCCAGCCTTTGAGTTCATGCGCTGACTCCAGCATGAAACTATTATAAACTCTTGGTCACGTGATGAAGCACTTCTTCTGAGGTTATTAATGCTTGCAGCAGCCAAGCAAAGTTTCAGAACTCAGGAACCTGGTTGATGAACTGTGTTCTCAGAGCGTTGGGAAGCCCAAAATTGTTTGCAGAGTCACGTAAGTTATTCAAAGTCTCTTTTCTCTCCCCTTTGCTTCACTGCTCTGGATATAACAACTCTTTCATATCATTATTTTCCACAGCAGAACACTGATAACCTACACAAATGCACAGCGCTTCTATTCAATAAGCTTGTCTGCTGGTAAATCTTTTTCCCTGCAAGTTTTATGCCTCCCACATGCATGAATTTCTTTAGATCTGCTCTTGCATCCTTTGTTAAATCACGATCACATACTCACCCTTAATGTGTTATCTTTAGACAAAACTGAAAAGATTGCTCAGGTGGAAATCTCAGCCTGTGAAGTTCTCTACATTTCTAAAAGAAAAAGAACATATCTGTAGAGTCATACAATCATGATCATATTTAGTATTTAGATAGAGCATTTTGGTTTTTCAAGCTCCTTAGGAGATTTCATCTCAGTAACTTATGCAAGAATCTTGAAAGGATGGCAAATATTATTACAGTCATATTGTCGAGTATGGGGTGGGGGAGTCTGAGAGATAGTGGCTTATCTAGGTTTCTGAGAGAGTTTGTGGCCATGGTAAGATTTTAACCAGGAACTTTCCAGTTTGTCATTCTTATTGTTTTCATAAGTTGCAAGAAACACAGCTATCAGATTGGAGAGCTCACCTTTTTTTTTTGTTCACATAATTTGTGGGTGGAAGTTCCAGGTTCGATCCTCTATATTTTCAGTGAGAAAGGATTAAGAAACAGATTATGAAAATATATTTGTCTGAGGATGCTGTTGGTTAGAGAACTTGGAAAAAAATTCTATGGATTATAATTTCCAGTATTACCCATAGAACAGTAGCCAGCCATGCTAGATAGGAGTTTCTGGGATTTATAGGACAAATATATATATATATTTTTGAGCACTGGACCATATAATACCGAGCTAAGTGACCGCATGTTGTAAGGCAGCTTCCTTGTTCATACACACTGATCTCATATACACCTTTTCTTTATATGGTAAAACATTTCCATTTGGTTGACCATAGTAGTACATCTCAAATGAAGAGCAAGGATTATCAATTCACATCTAAGATTCACATCTAAGATTCACATCTAAGGCTTGGCCCCACTGATCCTACTAGATTCTTTTCAGTCGGAGTGGAAGAAGCACATAACAGAAGAGATATTGAAAATTGGCTTTTCCCCCAGTATACTTATAGCAATGGGTCTTACAGATGCCATTAAAGCGGTGAAGTTAAGGGTATGGGACATTGAATTACAGGACCATGTTGGCCAGTTAGGGAAATATAACTTCCTTAAGAAATCTGCCTTTATCACCTCCTCGTACTTAGCCAGCACTATGTCATCTAAAGCCATAAGGGCTTTTACGCTAGCTAGGCTTAACGTACTACCTTCTAAGCTTCTGGAGGGAAGATTTTGAGGTTTGCCTGCATCAGATTGTCTCTGCCCCTGTAATAGTGATAAAGTTGAAACAGTTGGTCATGTTCTTCTTTTTTGTACCTGTTATCGGGATCTTCGCATGGAGCTTTTATCATCTATTATCTGTAAATCTCCTGGGAGATCAGAGGAGGATTATGTGCAGTGGCTACTCTCTGACAGTACCCCTTATATTACTAGACAAGTGGCCAAATTCTGTGCTGCAGCAATGGTTATTCGTAAACAGATGTTTGGGTAGGTGATTTTAGATCGACAATATAATATTTTTAATACAACACTATCTGTGGTTTTATCTATATCAAGGATATATTATGTTATTAATTGGAAATAAGGGTTTGTTTTATCATGTTTTAATGGAATTTTATTACCCTGCTCGACTTTCCTAAACAATAATTGTATGTATCTATTTTATACTGTTCTGGTTTTACTGGTCTTTGACTGTAATAAAGTATACCTACCTACCTACCACATCTAAGATTAATTTTTATGTTACAATTTTCTACCCCTTTTTTTCCACATCTAACTCTATTCTTCTTCCAGGTTCTGACTACCCTCCAAAAAGTTTTGACACTCACAATGGATCATCCAAACATGACCCAGACCTTGGTTGCCAGTGAAAGTTCTGGTCCTGCTGCTTCCACTTTAGCAAAAGAAGGAGAAAATGGCAATGAATACTTCTACATCCTGATTGTCATGTCCTTCTATGGAATCTTTCTAATGGGGATCATGCTGGGCTACATGAAGTCCAAGAGGAAAGAAAAGAAATCCAACCTGCTGCTGCTCTACAAGGATGAAGAGAGGGAATGGGGACAAGCTGTCAAACCCATGCCAACCATCTCAGGTCTGAAGTCCGTCCAGATTCCCATGATGTTCAGCATGCTGCAAGAGAGCATGGCACCAGCTCTCTCCTGCACCTTGTGCTCCATGGAGGGAAGCAGTGTGAGTGAGTCTTCCTTGCCAGATGTTCACCTCACTATTGAAGAGGAAGTTCCAGATGCTGAACTGGGGGAAACAGCTGAAGTTGCTCTTCTCAATGACAGCTCTGAAGGCTCTTCTGAAAGCATCCACCAGAATTCCTAGCACTTGGAGGCTCTAGGGACACAGTGTCTTTGTAAACCAGAGGTGAAGATTTCTAGATTTGCCTCCTTCCCTCAGTGATCTCCGCTAGGGACGGAAAGAGTGACTAGTTGTTGTGGGCAGGAGGCAGGGAGCAGAGCAGCAAACACAAAAATAATGTATAATAGAATGACTTTGTTGTTTTGGTTGGAGGGATTTTTTTCTCCCCAGGCAATTATGTTTTTATAGCTTCTGCTTCCTTCACAATTTTAGAAACATCTGGGAAGTAGTTGAGATTTATATAAGAGACAGGTTTGTGAATGATTTGTGTTTTGACAGCTAGCCTCATTGATCTGTGCTTAATTAATATTTTATCTGGTTCCTTAAAGGCTTCCTGTGTCTAAAAGGGACTTTTAAACAAAACAGTTTTTGTTAGAAATCTGGCCACAAAGGATAAGAATAATGTGATGCAAGAGGAAAGTCTTTGCTTCAATCAGTGGCTGAGCAGAATTCTTGATTCTCAGATAGTGGCAACTATGTGGGAATAGATGTATTTCTGAACAAATGTTGCTTTTTGGAGTCAGAGAAGGGTCTTTTACCAATGATTGAAATAAAGCTGCCTCCAGGTATACCAAAAAGACTGTGAGCACAATTCTGGGGGCCATTTGGTTTTTCATTTTAATAGTGCTGAGCGAAGAGAACACTGCTGCCTTGCAACTTCCACTTTCTGCAAAACCAAGAGTCCTTTAATTTTCAATTGAGATGGATTCATTTTTGAAAATATTTAATTTATTGTAAGAATAGTTGTCCTAATGTAATGACAATTGCTCCCTTCAGATATTATACAACACTATGAGTGAGACTTCAAACCACAGTCAAAGGCTGTAAACAAAAGGGATAAATCATGATGCATTGCTGCTTCTCTCCTTTGGTTTTCCATCTGTTTGGGGTTCCTGCTTCTGTAGTGCAGGCAGCTATAGACACAGGGCATGGATTGTAACTGCCAATTCAGACATGATGCTAAAGCCGGGCTGGGGAACCCGTGGCCATTCAGCTGTTATTGGACAGAGATTTCCATGACCTCTTGCCAGCACAGCCAGGGATGAGAGGTGATGGGGTTTGTCTTCTAACAACAGCTGGATGCCATCTTCCCCAGCTCGTAATTATCCAAAACCACTGGATTATGGTCTCTGATCGTTTTTTGCCAATCAGTTATAAACCATTTCCTGCAGTTCAGGCATCATGCCAAGCCATTAGTTAAGCTTTGTTTTACAGTAGCATGGCAAAACATCTGACCCACTTTATGTGTGTGTGTCTGTACGTGCATGCATGCATGCTTTGCAGATCCTAGTGCACTGCCCCTGTACAAATTTTATAGGGGTTCTGAACTTCGACTGTAATTATTTCACTGTGCATTGCATGTGACAATAGCATCACTGTTTGGACTGGTCTTGTTGGCATGAGAATAGAAACTTTGCCAAAATGTCTCTTTGAGTTCCCTGAGTAATACAGCTCAGAATATACTCATTGCCATGGGATACATTCTGGGAAAACAGTGCATGGAAAGGGAACAGGCACAAATGATGCAATAGTCCCATTTTCTCCTTCCATTCTAACGTCTCAGCTCCAGATTCAATATGAATGAAGCTAATCTAATGTCATGGATCAAAGAGAACTGTCTGTTCACTTGTCTGATGACACAAGGGATAGAATTGTTTTGTTTATGGGGAGGTTTTGTTGTTCATTGACAACTGGCTGCAAATCTCATTAAGGCAATGAGAATATTTCTACTGACTGCTGAACAATCCACAGGCACAAACTCTGGGTTACTTTATTCCAAGAGGGGCTGTTTAAGGTTTTCAAAGAAACTGAATTAACTTTTGGCATTTTTCCTGGAATCACTTGAATCCTGAAATTTTCCAGCTCGAACTGTCCTCCGAGTTGTCACATTGTTTCCCATGGCTGTATCCTTGTTCCTTTTGTTTTAGTATACTTCATTTGTGATTCTTTCTCGGCCTCTTCTTCTTCTTTTCTTTAAAAGAGAATTATGTATATACTTTGATACCAGATTGTATATATTTGCCTTGGATATTTAAATTTAACTATTTCTTTTTGTTAACGCAAATTGTTATTTAAATAAAGAGATCACTTTTTGTGAATTTTTAGCTGATGTTTACTCATTATTCCAAAAAAGTCTCAGTTCCAAGAGACATAACTCACCTGTGCCACGAACATTACTGTCACCAATTCTAATTATTGTCCTCTCTTCTTCTTCTTCTTCTTCTTCTTCTTCTTCTTCTTCTTCTTCTTCTTCTTCTTCTTCTTCTTCTTCTTCTTCTTCTTCTTCTTCTTCTTCTTCTTCTTCTTCTTCTTCTTTTAAAATTCAGCTCTCTTCTCATTTCCTCTGTCATTACTGGGTTAAGGTTGTTGTAAAGGGAGCCCCATGGCGCAGTGATTAAACTATAGTACCACAGTAAAGTCTCTGCTCACAAACTGAGTTAAATTCTGATGAGTTGAGATAGCCTTCCATCTTTCGAGGTCAGTAAACTGTATATCCAGCTCATGTGAAGGGGTGTTAAAGTGTTCCTAACATAATTAGCACTATATAAGTCGAAACAACAAAGATGATCAGATAATGTAATTGAAGCCCTTGGAACTCTTGGAATCAGGGAATTCTAGTTTAGTGAAGTTAAATAAGTACTGAAACCTTTTAACAAGTAAACCATCAATCCAGTTTTGAGTATAGGTGGTCATTAGACTGTTGTGTTTTTTAACTATCTTTTTTACCATGGTGATGAAGTCTGGCTCTGACAATTGGGCATTTTATGTATAGATCACGTGTTGGATCACTTGCCTGGCAATTTCCAAGTGGTAATCAAATCAAATTCATAACATGTATGTGACTAGATGGAACAGATGCAGCAAGCCAAAAAAAAATCATCCCCAGAAACAACATGTCAGCACCCATCTCAGGTAGAAAATTGATATTGTGGAAAACAGCTGAAAAGAGTGACTACAGTATAGGACAGTCCAACAAAATTCATATGGTCTCATTCGACTAGAGGGGACTGATGCAACCTGACCCAAAACACCCATGGGAACAACATTCCAGTGCCCAGTTCTGGGCAGAAGAACAGCCCAAGTGCCTGTGCATTTTTCTTTATATTTTCACAAGTGGGGAAAAAATAGAGCCAGCAGATGGGCTTGGACCTATCATGCCATTTAACATTTAAAGGAGGGAGTGGAGCTCCCAGCTATGTAACTTGTGTACCTTCCTACCACACAGGCCCCAGCAGCACCAGTAGCAACATAGGGGGAAGCTCTCCATAGGTTAGTCTCCAAAAGCCCCAGCAGCTTACACAAGAGCTCTATGTGTTATATGTGCTATAGATGAGATCTAACATGGAACCAGTTCTGCTGTTTAGTCGTTAAGTCGTGTCTGACTCTTTGTGACCCCATGGACCAGAGCACGCCAGGCCCTCCTCTCTTCCACTGTCTCCCAGAGTTCAGTCAAATTCATGTTGGTAGCTTCGATGACACTGTCCAACCATCTTGACCTCTGTCATCCCCTTCTCCTCTTGCCTTCACACTCTCCCAACATCGGGGTCTTTTCCAGGGAGTCTTCTCTTCTCATGAGATGGCCAAAGTATTAGAGCCTCAGCTTCAGGATCTGTCCTTCCAGGGAACACTCAGGGTTGATTTCCTTCAGAATGGATAGTTTTGTTCTCCTCTCTCTCAAGAGGGGACTCTCAAGAGCCTCCTCCAGCACCACAATTCAAAAGCATCAATTCTTTGGTGGTCAGCCTTCTTTATGGTCCAGCTCTCACTTCCATACATCGCTACTGGAAAAGCCATAGCTTTGACTATGCGGACCTTTGTCGGCAAGGTGATGTCTCTGCTTTTTAAAATGCTGTCTAGCATCTTAAAAAGGTGAGATTTAACATGGAATCAGTTCTACTCAAGCTATTTCTAGGAGGGAAAGGATTTAAATGTGCAGTGTTTCCATCACATCTATCACAGTTGCTTTGGTAGAGAAAGCCTGACACAAATGTAACACACATTCACATTTGGCTAGGGTGAAATTAGCAATAGTGTAGTAGCAAACCTGCCTCCTTTGCTTGAATAATTAATTTGAAATGACTTAGGAAACCAAAGTAATTTTCCTACATGCCTGTCCACTTAAACACTTCAGCAGTCTCTTCCAAAACAAAGGCTCTTGTGACTCTCAGAAAAAGCTATAGTAGGAGCCACAAGAGAGCCATAGTTCTCAGTGAGTTGGTAAATGTATGTCTCTGGATGCTGATACAGTACATCAGGCTGTAACTAAGGCTGTGACACATACTGTGGAATTTGCTCCATAATTAGCACAGGTGAATTGAAAGAAGTGATGGGGAAACATGGAAAGGGAACAAGTGGAAGAAAATATCATCTTACCATCCCCAAGTCCATGATAGACTGAATGATAAAAGCCTGATCTGGAAGCACCGAATGAGTGCAAGCATTTCAGACGTCAAAACTAGATGATACATTCAGGGCAGATCAACTATGAAACGAATGAAGCTTAAGCTTCCAGGGCCCTAATTCTGAAGGGGGCCCAGAAGCAACTTTAGTCCATTTTTTAAAAATGTGGTTATCTGTCATGGAACAAGCCCACTGAAAAAAAGATAACGGTGATTATTGTTGCTGGATGCAAAGGGGCCCCATAACAGTTCAAGCTTCGGGGCTCCAAAACTATATGTCATCTATTGAATATGTTTAGTATGTTTGTGGAAGATGTGCTCCCTTCAGTAATAAAAGACATCTGCTTGTGAAAGCACGTTATTTCCCTCACCTATCTATCTTCCATTTAGTGTGCTTTCTTTTGTCGTTGGTCACACAGCAGTGTGTGTCTGTGTGGATACGTTTTCTAAACAAAGGTAAAATAGGTACAGTATGGGATTCATTGTATGTCATCTATGAATTCTCCATAAAGATAACTAAAAGAAGGTGTGAAAGATGAAGGCATCTACTTTAAAGCCATACTGAGGAAGAATCCGCTGCCAGTATCCTGCCAGGACTATGCCCTCCTTATTTGGATTTGGATTTTTATAACTGTAAAATCTGCCCTCTAATGAGTACCAGGAGACTATTGAAGCAGATATACAATTATAAGGAACCTGGCTCAAAAAACTATACATAAAATGGGCTCACTGTCTCCATGGATCTTTCTCCAACTCAGTTCTTGGTGTTTGGATTCAGTGCCAGTTTCTCACAGTAAGTTCCCCTCAGGATTTCCCTCATGCCTGAACACACACACACACACACACAAACACACACAAACACACACCGCCTACTCAAGCACAGCAAACTATAAGCTAATTAAATCATGTCTTTTGCAGGCTGGGAAAGAGCACATCATCATAATCATTATTGCATTAAAATATTCAGTGACTAGATAGATAATGTGATGCATTTAAGTACAAAGATCTGCGGTTAAATGTATGTCCTTGTGATCTATGTATCAGCACCCTAAACATGAAGACTTCCAAAAGATACACCAGAATG